TGTGTTGTTTTTCCCCTTTGTTGTCTTCTTTTTTTTTTTATTTTAGTTGTTAGTTTGTAATTGTTGTTTGTTTTTGTTTGTGGTTGTTTTCTCTGGTTTCTTGTTAACTTTAGTGGTTAGTTTGTTATTGGTTTTTTATTATATTTTTAAATATTTATCTTTGTTAATTTTTTGGTTGTGTGTTTTCATTTTTGAGTGTGTAGTTAGTTAGTTATTAGTATCCTAGTTAGGTTAGCATAGTTAGTATTTCTGTTAGCAGTAAGTTAGCGTCCTTAGTGTTTCGGTAGAGTAGTGAGCGTGGGGAGCATTTAGTTAGTTTCGGGGATCCTTTTCACATACTACTAGCTCTAGGCTAATAGTGCACTTGTTAATCGAGTAGTGGAGCTAGTGCCAAGGGCTCTAGACAGCCAGGGCCTGCGAGCGTAGGAGCGGGTCCGCCCTCACTGCCCGGATGCGCCCTTCTGCCCAGGGAATGGCCCTGAGACAGTATGTGATGCTCCGCAAACTGGGGGAGGGCGCGTACGCCAAGGTCAAGCTGGCGCTGCACCTGCCCATGGGCACGGAGGTGGCCATAAAGATCGTGCCCAAGGGCGGCAACCGCGACAAGTTCCTGGCCCGCGAGGTGGCCTGCAAGAAAGTCCTTCGGCACCCGAACATTCTCAAGCTCTTCCAGGTGGTGGACACCGAGGACGAGGTGCTGCTAGTCCTGGAGCATGCACAGGGGGGCGACCTGGAGGACTACCTGTGCAGGTGCGGGCGCCTGGTGGAGATGGAGGCGCGCTGCCTCTTCCGCAGATCCTCGCCGCGCTCAGCCACTGCCACGTCTGGGGCGTGGCGCACCGGGACCTGAAGCCAGAGAACCTGCTCTTGGACTGGCACTGAAACATAAAACTAGCAGACTTCGGGCTCAGCGCCCAGTTCTCCGGGACGGCGCTGCTCAAGACCCCCTGCGGCAGCCCGGAGTTCGCGGCCCCCGAGCTCTTCCATCGCCAGGAGTACAGTGGCCCCGCGGCAGACGTCTGGAGCCTGGGGTGGTCCTCTACGACGTGGTCACTGGGGAGCTGCCCTTCGAGGGCAACAGCTTCGGGGAGCTGCGGGCCAGGGTGCTGAGCGGCATTTACCACGAGCCACACTACCTCTCCCAGCAGTGCCGGGACCTACTGAGGAAGATGGAGATGCTCGACCCCCAGAGCCGCAGCACCCTGTACAGCATCTTCAAGCACCCCTGGGTGGGGCTGACGAATGGACTTCCGCCCTGCCCCGAGCCGACCCCGGGCCAGCACAAGGCCACGATGGAAACCATGGACCACCTTGGGTTGGGGAAAGAGGTCATCAACAGGGTGCTTTTGGAGGCCAGGTACGATGATGTGATGGGGACCTACCTCATGCTGCTCTCCAGGCAGCGGGCAGATGAGGAGGGGCCGGAACCTGCCATCTCCCCCAAGCGCCTGAGTCCCGATGGGGCCCACTGCTTCCTGATGCCAGAAGACCATCTGCAGCCTGAGGTCTCGGTGCACGAGACATTAAAGGTGGGAGTGTTACCAAAGCAGGATGCCCAGAAGCCCACCACCACCTCCAGGACAGGCATCCCGCAGGAGGACACCGGCATGCGGAGCTCCGTCCCCAGCTCAGGGCCCCTGATGCCGGACGCCTGGAAGCCCAGCATGGCCTCCAGGTCAGGGCCCGTGCTGCAGGAAGCCTGGGGGCCCAACACCATCTCACTGCCAGGCCCCCTGCAGGAGGAAGCCCTGCGGCCCAGCACCACCTTGCCAGGCCCCCAGCTGGAGGGGGGCAAGGAAACCAGCAGGAAGACCTCCAGCCCAGCCCCCCAGCCCTCCAGCACCACCCGAACACCTCCCCCAAGAATGGTGGCCCCTGCAGAGACACTGGGCCATGAACACAATTCCCATTCCACCCTTCATTCCTTCAGAGGCTACAAGGCCAGAGCTCGAGGACTCCTTAATAGGATTTTAAAATGTTGCCTTTGCTGTGTACCCTTCGGAGGAAAACAACAATCCACAGTTCACCCTGCTGGGGATTAGGATCCTCACCAGCACCTCCCCAGAATTCACTTCCCCGCTCCAGGGCAGCCACCCAGTGGCCATGGTGAAAGGAGCACACCAGCGGAGGCCGAGGCCCCGGAGAGGGGTCAGGGTCTGGGCTCAGCCAGAGGGGCCAGGAGCAGCATGAGACCATAGGCGTGGAGCACAGACGTCCGCAAGCAAAACAGTCCCAGGAGCAGGTGAAGGTCCCTGAGGGCAACGGGTCTGGTGAAGCACCTGGAGGGGAACAGAGTGGAGGAAGGGGGGAGAGGAGGGCTTGGGGCAGCTGAGCAGGTGCAGGGCCCGGGATGGGAGTGGAGGTGTGTGGCCAGAGGCTGGGACCCCAGGGATTTGTTTCTCTATCTTAGGTTCTATCCCGTGAGGGCCCTGCTGGTGGCCCCTGGGCACCCGGATGGTACAGACAATGCAGGAGCTCTTCAGGCTGACTGGCGCTGTCAGGGAATGACATCCATGGTAAGAAGTCCCCGTGGACTGGGCCCCTTTTCACAACGTAGATTCCAAGTTGGAGAATCGCTCACCCACCATTGAGTGGTGCCTCGGTAGGGCCTCCTGTTTTCCATCTGCACTTTGTCGCATCTGAGTCCCTGCAGCACTTCTGGGGGATGTCACTAAGGAAAGATCCTCCTCCGTGCTTGGGCTTCACTGGCTCTGCTCTTCCCACGCAGGTCCCAGAGGGTGCGAGGAGGAGGTCACCGTGGACACACTGGTTCCCATTGCAGGGGCACCTCCAGGTGACCTGCTCTACCTGCGGGGCACTGGGGGTGGAGGCATCTGGACGCTCTTTCTCCGCCTGGAGGAGACAGTCTGAAATGGATGGTTTAGTTTAAATGTCTATCCCAGGACACATTAAACTCGTGTTTGAAACCTACCGTGTTTGCTCCCCGTTTATGACTGCACCCACACTTCCAACACATCAGACGTCAGAGAACTAAAAATCCTTTAACATTCTTGTAATAAGCAGTGAAAAGTTTAGAAAATTTAGAAAATTTTGGAAATCATTTAGAAAATTTTAGAAAAGTCAGAGGGGTTACATGCTAATAAGACAGCAACACAGGAGTGTGAAGCAGAGCAAGCAGTGAGTATGGAATAAGATATTTGTACTATTTTCTTTAGGTGTATGTGTATGTCTTGCACTGTGTTCAAGTGTGTGCATGTGAGTCTACATGAGTGTGGCAATTGTGTGCTTCTATAGGTATGAAGTATTCATGAACCTTGTACCATCAGAAAGACACTCCGAGCTGCAAAGAATTGGTATGGTATCTTCAAAAATGGGGCCTCCCGGATGGCCCAGCGGGTTGAGCCCAGCACTGAGGGAAGTTCTGAGTCTACAAACGTCCTAATGTGGCTGTGTGCCCGAGTCCACATCTGTAGGGGGTTTAATTCTGCTCCAGTATAACTGTAGGTGCAGGTCAGTTAAAAATTTTCCAGTTTCTTGCCATTGGTCCCTGCTCCTGGTGTGTGCCCTGGTCACCCATTTCTCTTTCAGGGGCATCAATGTTGTCCTGCACAGTGTTGTGAGTTTATGGTGGCGGTGAGCCCAGTGTCTTCACTCAGCCTCCGTATTGCCTCTCATGCATAACTCAATTCATTTTTGGAGACCATAATTACTTTGTAAACCAAAACAACTAAATACAATAAAAAAGACAATAAAACTGAAAAAAATAGAGATGTTAATAAAAATCATGTGAGGGGCCCTACGTGCTTAAAATGCATTCAGCTTTAAATGAGGACTGCACCAGAGATGGTGATTATATAACACTACCCAGTCCAGCACCCATTAAGTCAGGGCTAATTAGCACACTTCCTTTTCCAGCTTTGCCCTCAAAATCCATTAACATGAAGTGCTGGCACCCACTGTCACCTATAGATTCAAGGTAATATACCTCATATCTTCTACAACATGATGGGTTTCCTGAAGGAATTGAATCATTTCCCAGGATTGCCTTGGTCAAAGTGGGACACAATGGGGGCTGAATTAGAATGGGGGTGATGAAGGGGAAGCTGGGCTGCAGGTGAAACATCCAGAACAAGACTTTGATAGGCAACTTCATACTTCCAAGGAGAGCCTGCCCCAGGTGGACTCAGGACACCAAACACTCAGTAGATAATGAATGTCCCTCCACCAAAACATCTGTGCTCTCTAGATCTAGTCCCGCCCATTGAGACTCTATTTTTGTGTCTGCATTATGTTCTGTGACTGACACCACATGGTCACCCTGCTTGCAGTTTTATTATACTAAGCAATCACAGCCTTCCATTACATAACACTGATTTTATTGAAGAACATATCTGCCCTGCTTGTTTACATTCTGTACACTGATAAAATAGAATAATGATTTCAGTTGGTATCTTGAGTGAGTCAAATTTATAATTTATCCCAACTTGATATGCTCCAAAAATGAAAGAAGTGGAAGACTGTGGACAGTATGAAATGGCAGCTTGTTAGGAAAATAAAACCCAGAGCCAGAGAGTTAAAGGTTTACCTACTGAAGTTAAATTTGTTCTCAGAGAGGACGGACATGCAGCATTTGATGCCGAGGAAGACAAGTTCGCTTTGGTGCATAGGGCAGAGAAATAGCCTTTATATGTATACTTAGAACAATTTAAAAAGTTCACGTTATTTCTGTAAAGGGCTCATACAAGTAGTATAGACTTGAGTGGGGTAGTGCAAATCCAGGAATCAGGGGTCCCTGTAAATTCATCTATGACTCACACCTGATGCTTTTGTATGAGGTTCACCAAAGCACTTTGGATTTCAAACCATCTCTGCCTTGTACTCTGGGGTCTGTTTTTCTCTCTTGCATGATACATGCATTTTGATACTGACTGATACTGATCAGTATAGATGGGATGAGTGAATGGGATATAATGCCATTAACAAACATGTATGATTCCTTCTGCAAGCCCAGCACAGCAGGTGCTCAGTACAGGAGACAAAACCTGAAAGACATGGCCTTGCCTTGTACATATTAGAGTCCAGGGAGGGTAAAGAGAAATCCTCCCCTGAGATGCAGACAGCAAGCATAAATGTCACCCAGAGCATCGAAATTGTCTACCAGGACAGGTTCTGACCTCAAGTCAGCATCGTTTGTGGTCTTATAGAGTTTTTTTTTAAAGATTTATTTATTTATGCATATAAGAGTTGGGGTACAGACCAGCAATGCAGGGGTTGTGGACAGTGAGAGGATCCACCAGAGACAGAGTGAGGGGGGCAATGGTCGGGAGGACACAGGGTAGGGAGGGCTGGATGTGGAAAACCACCAGGCTCTGGCAGGTTGCGTTTTGGACATGGAGGAGCACAGAGGTCTGGATTCATTCCTGAGCACCCCACTGGGTCAGAACCCATACTGTGAGGGGATCCCCAGGAGACCCACGGGCATGGTCTGATCACTGCTGTGCTCTGAGTGCTCTGAGCAGAGGATACAATGGAACAAGGTATAAATTCACCGTGGTCCACCCAGGAGCCTCGCCCTGCAACTGTGTCCACCACATCCCGGGTCCCACTGGAGCTGGTCACTGCCTGGGACAGAAGCTGCACAGACTCTCTGAGCACCTTTGTCCTCCCCATGGCCGGAAGCCCCGCCCTGGGGATGCGACAACTGCACCCTCCCCTCTGTCCACGATGGATTAGTGCCCGCCTGGCAGGGTCATTCCTGGCTCCGAGGACCCTGACAGTTGAGAGAGGTGGGCAGGGCTGCACCAGCACTTCCCCCCCAGGTCTGCGCTTCCACCTACATTGAATAAGGAGAGAGAGGAACTGACTGACAGGAGCACCGAGACGACCCCCTCTGCCAAAATAGAAGGTTCTAGGCTCTGGTAGGCCCGGGGTGGGGGATATAGGTTTTTCCTCCTATACCAGAGCCTCAGTTTCCAGTATCCCCTCGACTCAGCAGGTAGACACGACCCCTTCACCTGTTGTTGCCAAGCACCCACTGTATGCTAGATGCCAAGGACATGAGCTGAGCTGAGCTCACAGCTCAGAGCACCCTCAGGAGGCATAAGGGACACAGGGAACTTCAACAGATGCTGCAAGAGTTGTGACAGGGAGCTTGAGATGCCACAGTTTTCCCTGGAAGGGGCACCTGACACAAGAGGTCGTCAGAGAGGGGCCGCAGGCCTGAGACAGCAGGAGCCGATGGCAAGAATCTCGCAAGCTTGTCTGGATGCTTGGACTTTAGCCTGAGTGTGGATAGTGGGAGCCACTGAAGAGGTTTTTGAGGCTGTAAATAAATGACATGACACAACAGGTTGTCTTTTGTGAGGGAGCGAGGACCGAGGGAAGGAATGCAGACAGCCCTCGGGAAACATATGGTTCCTCCCTTTCTTCTCCCCAGGAGTCAAAGAAACGGGGACATGAACCAGCCCGCCCAGGACAGCAGTGACATGCCCTTTCTTGCCAGGTACAAATTCAGACCCCAGGCCCAGGTTCAGAAAGGACAGTCTACGGATGAGTGAGTCTGCCCCTGCCTTGTCCAGCGGCTGGTGACCAGCCCGCAATTGAGGATCGTGGATTTCACAGGCACAGGTGACCAGAGACGTGGCTCTAAATTCATTATCAATTTCCTGTTTTAAAGTTGCATGTTTTGAATTTCCTGAATTAATTCATCTCTTTGATTGCTTTATAAAGCACACTGGCACTATCCTGCAATTATGTCACTTGAGTGCAACATTTTCTCTAGTGGCACATAAAGCAGATGAGAAAAGGACGAACTTACTTAGTTTCATCCACAGAAAAGTGGAAGAATAGCCGAATATTATACGATCAGAAACTTGTCATCTATTACCTGATAAAATGCCTTTGTCGTTCAATCTGAAACATTCTTTCTTCATCTCTAGACAACAGACCTACTTTGTCTGTTTTAGAATTTATAGAAAATAACACCTTTTTAGAAATTATAGAAAATAAAACCTACTTTTTCATTAACACACTGTTTTATGAAAGCTCCATAATTGGAAAAACAAAACAAATCTAGGTGGGACTTCCCATTTGTATGCAATTTACAGATTCAATGCAATTCCAATACAAATTACAGTGGTGTTCTTCAATGAAATGGAACCAAACTGGTTCAAATTCACATGGGATCACAAAAACCTCTAGTAGCGATAGTTCTGACTAAAAGGTGTGGTGGAGAAAGGAGGTATTACACTCCCAGACATCAAACAATATTACAAAGCTGTTATAATGAAATCTTTATTGGAACATAAACAGACACAGAGAACAATGAGGAACTAACCTATGACACAGGAGCAAATAATATATATTGGAAAAAGAATTGCCTCTTCCATAAATGGTGCTGGGGAAACTGGATTGCAACATGCAAAAGAATGGAACTAGACCACTACCTCACAGTACACACAAACCAACTCAAGTGGATGAAAGACTTGCATGTGAAACCTGGCACCACAGAATACACAGAAGGGAACACAGTCAAACACTCCATGACACAATCCTCAGGAACGTCTTTAAGGATTCTTCTCCAGAAGCAAAGAAGACAAAGGAGAATGTAAAATGTAAACAGT